TGTTTGTCTCTAATGCACCCGTGGGCATAAAATCCAACCACTTTGTAACTACTGGGCATTCTCTCTTACGTAGAAGCATTGACTAGGTGAGCACAGGAGTCCTTCCTGGCATTCAAATCTATTAATCTATGATCTTCCATTGTCCGTCCCAGTGTATGGTGTGACTTCTGTGTGGTGTCTAGATTTGCAAGAGCACAGAACCGTGGCCCACATTAAAGGAGTAGAGCCAGGAGAATGTCTCAGAATTGACCAAACCCATTTAGAATTTACTTGCATTGCTGTGCTGAGATATTGCTGTGGGGATCGTGCAAGCCTATGCGTGGCAGAGTGAGGGGAATGAAGTGTGGGAGCCGAGTGCTACCCGCCAGAGCTAGCACTACAAGACCACACCATGCCTTGACATCTTATGGCCAGGCCAAACAGGTCTCCTCTCCACAGAATCTCCTCTCTCCCAATCACCTGGGCCAGGCCCGCTGTGCTGTGAAACATTCCAAAACCAGTGCTACCCAGAGCCTATGCGTGGCAGAGTGAGGGGAATGAAGTGTGGGAGCCGAGTGCTACCCGCCAGAGCTAGCACTACAAGACCACACCATGCCTTGACATCTTATGGCCAGGCCAAACAGGTCTCCTCTCCACAGAATCTCCTCTCTCCCAATCACCTGGGCCAGGCCCGCTGTGCTGTGAAACATTCCAAAACCAGTGCTACCCAGAGTTGTATTGGAAAGCAATAAACAATGAGTAAAACCAGAATTAAGAGTCAATCAGATATAAATCCCATGAATGGATAAGGAAAAGCTGCCTGGACTTGTTTTATACACACAGAGGCAAACACAAGTTGTGTCTGCCTGGAGCTACTGAGAACGAAATCTGTATCCAAAGAAGAAAAAGCCTTTCTTCATCTTGGACGCATCCTTGCCGCAGTTGGCTGCACCTCCCAACCCTGGGCCCCTGATGAGTGCCGTTCCAATGCCTGTTTGAGAGCCATAAGCAGGTTTTTATCCCAGGGGAAGGCAATAAGATATTCTCTGATTTATTCTCTATCCCTTTTTAATTCTTTCTAACATTCTATTTGCTTTTTTGACTGTCGCTGAACATTGAGTGGATGTTTTCAGAGAACTATCCACAATGACTCCAAGATCTCTCTCTTAAGTGGTAACAGCGAATTTAGTCCCCATCATTTTATACGTCTAGTTGGGATTATGTTTCACTTCACATTTATCAACATTAAATTTAATCTGCCATTATGTTGCCCCGTCACCTAGGGTATGTCTAGACAGCTGGGCTATTTCTTTGTGACTTTGAGTTCAGTGGCAGATGATCTGCTCATTGCATACATCTTAGTGCGGCCCATGTGCTCTTTTGTGTTTGCTGTAGCATGACATGGGGACTACATTCTCCTCTATTGGCTGATTGGCACAAACCAGGGCAAGTCTTCTCTCTCTCTCTCTCTCTCTCTCTCTCTCTCTCTCTCTCTCTCTTTCTCATTTTCATAGAATCACAGAACACTAGAACTGGAAGAACCCTCGAGAGATCATCAAGTCCTGTCCCCTGCCCTCACGGCAGGACCAAGTCTTGATCATCTCTGATAGATGTCTATCCAACCTGCTCTTGAATATCTCCAGTGATGGAGATTCCACAACCTTCCTAGGCAACTTATTCCAGTGTATAACCACCCTGACAGTTAGGAAATTTCACCCAATGTCTAACCTAAACCTTTCTTGCTGCAATTTAAGCCCTATCATCAGAGGCCAAGGAGATGAATTTTTTTCCCTCCTCTTTGTAACACCTTTTTAGTTACTTTAAAACTGCTATCATGTCCCCTCTCACTCTTCTCTTTTCTAAACTAAACAAGCCCTGTTCTTTTAGTCTTCCCTCACAGGTCATGTTCTCTAGACCTTTAGACATTTTTGTTGCTCTTCTCTGGACCTTCTCTGATTTCTCCACATCTTTCTTGAAAGTGGTGCCCAGAACTGGACACAATACTCCAACTGAGACCTAATCAATGCAGAGTGGAGTGGAAGAACGACTTCTTGTGTCTTACAACACTGCTGTTAATGCATCTCAGAATCATGTTTGCTTTTTTTGCAACAGTGTCACACTGTTGACTCTCATTTAGATTGTTGTGTACTCTGACCCCTGGATCCCTTTCTTCAGTGCTTCCTAGACAATCGCTTCCCATTCAGTATGTGTGAATCCAATTGTTCCTCCCTAACCAGAATACTTTGTATTTGTCTGTATTAAACTTCTTCCTATTTACCTCAGACCATTTCTCTGGTTTGTCCAGATCATTTTGAATTATGACCCTGTCTTCCAAAGCACTTGCAATCCCTCCCAGCTTGACATCATCTGCAAACTTAATAAGTGTACTCTCTGTGCCATCATCTAAATCGCTGATGAAGATATTGAACAGAACTGGTCCCAAAACAGACCCCTGTGGAACCCCACTTGTTATGCCCTTCCAGCATGACTGTGAGCCATTAATAACTACTCTCTGAGAACGGTTATCCAGCCAGTTGTGCACCCACCTTCCCTATGGCTGGCATCAACCTGCCTTGGAGGATAGTGCAGCCTGCCCAGGAAGGCCAGTCCCGCACTCTGAGACACTCAGCTCCAGGGATTTATCGGTGTCATTGCTGCACGGAGGGAGTAACTAGGAAAGGGCTTGGGGCTCTGGGCTGAGGAGACCACCAGGCTGTAATTTATTTCTCAAATGCGAAGGCAAACCCCAGAGGACGAGCAGAGGAGGGAAAGCACCGAAACATCAGGGACCTGGGAGTTTTGTTCCCCGTTACAAGTTGATTACTGTGCCAAAAGTTCAAGAGCTGAGTCCTGAACCTGTGAAGTCATTTTTTGTTACAAGATTCCCAGGAGAGGCCATATTTTTTTCCTCCAGATGTCCTAATTCAGCCAGCGCAGTGTTATTTGTCTGTTTGTTTATTTAATAGTAGCTCTATACCATCAAACGACTCTCTCACCTAGCACAAATAGGCTGCACAGCTGTGCTAGCTTGCATATCGTGTAGACGGAGCTCTTTAGTGTAAGCTAAAACTACTTTAAAGAGCACTGCACGGTGGGGAAGCAAGATGGACATAAAAGGGTGGGTCCTGGGATAGGAAAAAATCTGGTCTTGGTGGTCTGGGTCCTGCAGAACTGCTGCAGGAAGCAGGACGATGGGCGAGAGGGAGCGCTCATTCCTTGAAATGGAACGGCCTCGCTCCTGAGCCCACGCATTGCCAAAAAGCATTAGCGTTGTAGGCATGGTCTCTGCGTGGTGAGGAAAAGCTCTGAGGGTTGAGAGGACGGACTCGCACTCTTGCTTCATGGTGCTTATGATTTTAACGTAAGGCTCTAAAAGAGTGACACCATTGGAATTACACTTGAGTGTGCTGATTTTTTCCCTTGCAAAGTCTTTGGAGACCTGGGCAAAAAGAGGGGAAATCTGTGTGGCCTTGAAACCTTATATAATGTTTCTCTGTTGGGCCAATAAAAAGTATCCTATCCATTATTTTGTCTGCTCAAATCTTGAAGGAAACATCAGGCTGAGTAGGAAAAAAGTTCTGTGGTTACAGCTCTTATAATCTCCGAGCTTTCCCCAAATACCCCCCACCTCTAAGCTCCATCTCCAAACACTCGACCTTGGAAGTGATAACCTGCAGACTTGGCAGTGAACATGACGTTTTACTGAGGGAGCTTACACAAATATTATGTCAAGTGAAATGAGGGTTTAATTCTATTATCTGTAGCTTTTCTTTCCCTGGGTCAAAAGTACAGCAAGTGGTCATGTTGTCTTTGTAGCCCAAGAGACAAAAGACCTGTTTTTAGACCAAATAATTAGTCATCCAGAACTAATGTCTCACAGCACTAACCACTACGGAACGCTTCAGAGTGATCTAACCCTGTCTGTAGTTCTCGACCAGCAGCCTTTCCAAAGGGCCAGAAGGAACTTGTTTCTAACTTTGTCTTAGGGGAGTCTCTCGGGGTGATGTGGAATGGGAGACATCACCATGGATACAGTGGCGAGGGAATGAAGTCACTTAGCATAGCATGAGGAAACCACACAGCCTGGCAGCATCTCCCCGAATGTTGCACTGAGTGCCTTCATTCCCTGCTGCTCTGTGGTGCAGCATGCGAGGGCTGTGGGCACCTTGGGCCCAGCTGTGGGTGGGCTCTCGGAGCTGCGGTGACTGGAGTAATGCACTACACGGTGTGCCACTCCGCACAGGAGACTCAGGAGCCCCGGCAGTGCAGATAGAGCCGCTTCTCTGTTGCTCTGGAGTCTGGAAGGATCCTTTCACCGCAGCCCCCCAGAGAAAAGCATGGGTCTGGTGCAGACTCAGTTGGCCCTGAGTTCTAAGATGCCTAACCTGGCGTGGCTGGAGTAATTATCCCCGTGGTAACTGCTGCTCCTGGAGGTGGCTGGCATGTCCCTGCAGCCCCTGAGAAAGTCAGAGCAGGGACTCTCCACACGCTGAGAACCCCTGTGACTGGCAAAACTGGGGGGACTCTGACAGGATTTGAAGGAACAGAGGGGGACCTCGGAGAATTTTCAAGCTGGGGAATGTCACGTTACTGGATATTAAAGGGAGCAGCCAGATCACTGCTGTGCCCACTGGGGGGGGGGGGCGAGAGGTTGCCCCAAAGTCTGTTGAAAGGGGGCCATGTGAGGTGTCAAATGAAAGCTCATGTTCTACTGATTCTGTGTGTGCTACTCGTGTACGTGTGTGATGTCTGTGTGTGGAGTTATGAATATGGACTCTGTGCTGATACCGGCCTGCACTGTCTGTTGTAAAGAACAATTGTTCCTTTTGACTATGCTAATTAGCAAGGCTCCAGGGACAATGACTCTCAAGGTGCCCAATACACACCTGAGGGATGCGTCTGGGAACCTGCAAACCAGCCAGGGCAGAATGGCTGCCAGCACGTGAAATAGAGATCGGTCACTTAACCATGTGACCATGAGGCAGACTCCATCTTGCCTTCAATTCTGCTACTAATTCCAGATGCAGCCTTGTGAGGAGCAGCGAGCTGGGAAGAATCGTTGGCCCATGCTGACACAGGATGTACACCAGAGACTTTGAATCTAGCAGTTTGTAACATCTCTGCTGAGAGCCTGCATCGAGAACTGGGTGATTTGATGCTTGTAACGTATTCTCCTTAACAACCTCACTCTCAGGCTTTTCTTTCTTTTATTAATAAACCTTTAGATTTTAGATTCTAAAGGACTGGCTCAGCCTGATCTTGTGGGTAAGATCCAAAGTGTAAATTGACCGGGGATCTGTGGCTGGTTCATTGGGACCAGAAAGACCCATTTGGGGTAGGTGAGATTGGGTTCTATAACCCCTCACCTGTGTGTTAGGCCTGGGGCTGATTGTGGCAAAGGGAGAGCTGGAGTGTTAGAGGGGTTTTGTTCACGAGGCTTCCTGCTGGCTGGAAGCGCTCAGTGTGACTGGTCTGTGGGCTATTTGGGAACAGTCTTCAGTCAGGGGCTGTAAGGAGCCCTGAGTTTGAGCAATTCGCCTTGAGCAGATGCCCTCAGCGGTGCTCAGACCTGGCCAGACCCATTACAGGGAGCAAATAGTTAAGCAATCAGTTTGTAAACATCTAGAGATAACAGTCAGCATGGATTTGTCAAGAATAAATCATGTCAGACCAACCCAATAGCGTTCTTTGACAGGGTAACAAGCCTTTTGCATAGGGGCAGTAGTAGAAGTGGTATATCTAGAATTTAGTAAGGCTTTTGATCCAGTCTTGCATGACCTTCCCATTAACAAACTAGGGAAATACAAATTGGATGGAGCTACTACGAAGTGAGTGCATAACTAGTTGGTTAACTGTTCTCAGAGAGTAGTTATAAATGGTTCACAGTGATGCTGGAAGACAAATGCCATACCATGGGTGGGGGAAAGAAAGACATCCCAGCACAGGCAGTTTTGAAGCCCGTCTCCCAATGATCAAGTAATGCCAATTGAACCCACCTGCATTCACTGATGGATTTCTCATTGGTTTGTAGGCAAAGGTGGGATGTTGCCCAAAGATTGCCAAGTCCAGTCTATTTGTCTCCTTACAAAGGTCTGGCTGTATGTTGTACACAGTAGCTTGGGGGCTTTAGCTGTGTAACAGAGTGTCTTGTGCCTTACAGGCTGGGGTGAGCCTGTTGCCAACCCGCTCTGAGTACGAATGAGTCACACCTGGGAATGCATCAGGTGCTTTCCCTATAAAAGCAGCAGAAGGCTGCAGTGGAAGAGGAGGGGGAGAGGCTGTTAAGAGGAGCAGGCATCGGGAGGGAGCCCTGGGATGTGGGAGACACCTGGGAGTGAGAAGAGGCTTTTTAGGTCAGGTGGACTTGTGCTAGACTTGAGTTGGGGCTGAGGGATTATTTAATAAATGCAGAGCTCATAGAGGGGTATTTTGGGCCACAACAAGCCTTTGGGTGAAGTTTACTGAGCAGTCTGAGAGGGGAAAATCAGAGGGGTGCCTGGGGTGTGGCCACTTTCTAATGAGTCATTTTAATGAGACAAGGTGAGAGAGGTCATATCTTACATTGGGCCCACTTCTGTGGGTGAGAGAGGCTGCTCTTTTTCAGGGCTGGGAGAGGTACTCCAAGCTCCCAGCCAAGTATAAGGCGGAACAGATTGTTAGCATAAGTAGTTGTGACTATTCCAAGGCAGTGGTTCTCAACCAGGGGTCTGCATACTTCTGGGAGTATGCTACAACTAGATATTTGCCTAGTTTTACATTGGGCTACATAAAAAGCTCTAGTGAAGTCAGTGCAAACTGAAATTTCATGCAGACAGTGATTTGTTCATGCTGCTCTCTATATTCCAATCCATTAATTATATTGTTATATGATAAAAATGAGAATAAGCCATTGTTTTCAGTAACACTAAGTGTGACACTTTTGTGTTTTTATGCCTGACTGTGTAAGGAAGTAGTTTGTAAGAGGTGAAGCTTAAGGGAATGCCTGACAAATCAGGGCCCTGAAAGTAGTCTGGAAAGGCTGAGAGCTTCTGTTCTAAAGGACCATTCAAGGCAGAGTGTCCTATGACCGCTCAGTATTGTAGGAACAACAGGGCTACAACTACGCTGCAGATGAGTTATTTTAATGTCTATATCTAGAGTTTGGTTGCGCATTATAAGAGCGACCACACTGGATCAGACCAATGGTCCATCCTGCCCAGTGTCCAGTCTGCCACCAGTGGCCAATGCCAGATGGCCCAGAGGGAACGAACAGAACAGGGAATCATCAAGGCCATGTCTACACTTTAGAGAACATCAAAGCTGCCGCAGTTGATCTTCCGGGGTGTGAATTAGTGGGTCTAGTGAAAACACACTAATTTGAACTGAGAGGGGGCTCCCATTGGCGCCAGTAGTCCTGCTCCTATGAGAGTAAGGGAAGTCAAAGTGAGAGCATGCTCCCATCAACCTCCTGCTCTGCAGACAGCGCCAAAAAGTGATCTAAGATCCTTCAACTCCAGCTACATAATCAGCGTAGCTGGAGTTGTGTATCTTAAGTCAACTTTCTCCTTTACTGTAGACCAGACCCACATGATCCCACTCCTATCACCCATTTCCAGCCTCTGACAAACATTCCTGCCCATCCTGGCCAATAGCCATTGATGGACCCATCCTCCATGAATCTATCTCGCTCTTTTTTGAATCCTGTTAAAGTTCTAGCCTTACCGCATCCTCTGGCAAGCAGTTCCACAGGCTGATCATGCATTGTGTGAAGAAATACTTCCTTTTCTTTGTTTTAAAGCTGCTACCTATTAATTTCATTTGGTTACCCCTACTTCTTGTATTATGAGAAGGAATAAATACTAACTTTTCCTTATTCACTTTCTCCACACCAGTTATAATCTATCATATCCCCCCCCCCGTCTCCTCTTTTCTAAGTCGTTTTAATCTTTTTTCTTATGGCTGCTCTTCCAAACCCCTAATCATTTGTGTTGCCCTTTTGTGAACTTTTTCCAATGCCAAGAGATCTTTTTTTAGATGAGGCGACCACTTCTGTACTCAGTATTCAAGATTAGGGTGTACCATGGATTTATACAGAGGCAATGTCTTAGTCTCTATCCCTTTTGAAATGATTTCTAACATTGTTTGCTTTTTTGACTGCTGCTGCACACTGAGTGGATGCTTTCAGAGAACTGTCCACAATGACTCCAAGATCTCTTGAGTGGTAATAGCTAATTTAGTCCCCATCATTTTGTATATATAGTTGTATGGAGTAAATAAATCAACCCTGGTTCCACAAGATCTGAGCTGGCCTCTGGGAAAGGAACCCAAGTTCAAGTATCATTATCTAATGTTGGACCCCAGAGCAAAGTGGCCCAATCTCAGTGGCCATTGGGCTAATGTGCTTTGCCATCAGAAGAGCACTCCTGATAATGTTCAAAGTGGCCCACTTTCCTGCTCTGCCTTGTTAAGATGTTGGGTGCTGCTGCTGCCAAGCCAGGCAAAAGCTGGCCAGCGTCTGGCTACTCTGGGGAAACCTGAAGTGGAACACAGAGTCAGTTTAGCACCTTCAGCTTCTTTCTTTTGGCACGTTCTTAACCTATAATGGAAAAATTTTAAAAAACCCAACGAATAGTCTAGTAGCACCTTAAAGACCAACAAAATGTGTAGATGTTGAATGTTTCGTTAGTCTTTGAGGTGCTACTAGATTATTGGTCTGTACCCTCTGAAGCTTTTTAACCTACAATGTAACGTGAACACACGGGGGCAGGCTTGTGCCTGTCCAGTACCGCCGGTCTCTGCAGTGACGCTGCCTTGCCTTTGCAAAGCAAGTGCGGCTGGGCAGTGATCATTGAGCAGATGCTATGCACCTGGGGCATGCCCCACATGCTCAACAGGAAGAAAGACCTTTCCTTCCTGTTTGCAGTGATGAGTT